TGTGTGCCTTGGCAGTCTAGTTCCAGACAAGTGGCTACTGAAATCAATCTTACTAACTGCTGTCTGTGGAATTTACTCCCCGAGTTGGCAGACTTTATTTTGCTTACTTTAACATCATTTTTCATGGTGGGGCTAAGCCATTTCTTGGTATGGGTGTACCCTACCCCAGCGCTGCCACTGGTGGGATGTATNGGAAAGAGATGGCTGTTTGAGGAAGCTCCCATTTATTAACATTTCAACAAACAAGTTGCATATTTGCATAACGTATTCAAGTGTTACCATTTAGTGCAAATTGCACTAAATGGTAACACTTGAATACGTTATGCAAATATGCAACTTGTTTGTTGAAATGTTAATAAATGGGAGCTTCCTCAAACAGCCATCTCTTTCCCGACAATCCCCTCTGTGCACGAACCCTTACATATGGTAATTAAACATTAAAACACCTGCGGCTTATAGTCCAGTGCGGCTTATATATGTACACATCATTCAATTTAGCTGCTGCGGCTTATATTCAGGTGCGCCTTATAGTCCGAAAATTACGGTAGTTGTCTATGACTAAAATTATCTACTGAGGGAAAGGTTTTGGAATTTGTTGCTGTAAAACTCTTTGATTAATTTGAAAACAATTAATTTTTACAAACTGTGCAACAAATATTGTTCTTCTTGGGGTAAAAACCATATCTTTGTTCCCACCCCAAAGCTATTTAACTGAAGTATTGGATTGATCGGGAACAAAGAAAAACATTCAAATGGATATCTGCTCTGACCTTGTTAAAGGAACAAGGCTCCATAATGGATCTACTGACCCATCGTCTAGTGGGCCCTTGTGTATCAGTTATATATTACCTGTGTTGAAATGCAATCGGCACAAGTATTTCCCAGAAGGTCTCTGTGTTAATGTGGGTCACTCACCTCTCGACTCTCAATAACCAGTTCACTGACGCATCGCATGAACATGTTTTCTCCCTGGGTGTCCTTCTCATTGCTGCAGAAAAGAGAGAAAAAGAATAAGAATTGGAGACAGAGGCATTGTGGTGAACATCAGTAGATAGCAATAGCTGAGTCATATCTGACTCATATCTCTTAGAGAACCACCTTAACAATTATCTTTATAAAATATGGGAGAAATAGACGGTGTCCATGTAAGAGTGTGGGCGCACTTACCGTAAGAAGTAGAAGTACTGCAGGGCTTCCCGAGGATCAGTGGACTCAAACTTGCGGGTGTACAGCATGAGCAGACGGATGAAGTTCAGGCGGCGAACCATGGGAGGGTCTCCGTGCTCCTGGCTCACTGCATGTGGTAAACACATTTTCTTTAATTAAAATGTATGTCTCAAGTGTCTGCACCCCCCTACAGAAAGACGCTGGTTACACTCACACAGCTGAGCGCTCTGGCCAGACGACTTCAGCAGCAGCCGCAGCTCGTACAGCACCAGCGCCACATGCACAGCGTGACTCCGGAGCCTCTCGGCGCGGAACAAGAAGGCCACGGCCGCCTCGAACTGAGCCGTCAGGAACAACACCTGGAAATACAGGAAGGGCTGCTGGCTGGCGGAGAAATGAGACTCTCCTGTTGGACACAAGATAAGAGAGAGGGGGTTAGGTTGGATGTCAGTCCAAGTGTGGAAGTGTTTCAGCATTACTGAAACGTCAGGAAGAAAGACGTCACACCCTGTAATGTCAGATTTGTCCACATTTACTCTGAGAAATGTCTGACTAAAGTTGTCGGACAGTGCCTGGTAATTCTTGTGGAGTAAAAACACTGAAGACCACTGATTGATCTACTAATCATAAGGAACGGCAATTATTTACTTGACTTGAAAAAATGGCAGCCCGCAATACTCTAAGTGGCAAGCGTAGTGTTGACAATGATGGAAATGTCAAGGCTGTTTCAAGAGCTGTCGTTCTTGCTTTTGACTGAAAATCTGGAACTATCTGTAGTTGAAAATGAAATAAAGAAACAGACCATCCCTTGTCTAATTAAGTTAAGTCATGTTAAGCCAAACTCTCCAGCGGAAATGAGGCATAGGACCACCGAGGGCAAAATTGAGACAATGATTTTGATTGTTTCATTTAATCATGGGGAAAAATGGACAACACTTCTATTCTTCGACACATTTTCTATTAATTTTAGAACGTTCACAAGATGACATCAAAGTGTTTTTGGGGCATTTAAAAAAAGAAAGAAGGACAATCCAGAGGTGACCGGAAAGAAGGGGAATAAAGAGCAGGGATGACTTGCAATAAATCAGACGGACTCCCACCACATGCGTTGACATGGTGCTTCTTAAAATTATTTTTATTACAGCTAAATAAACTGACTATAATTGTGGTATTGAAACAATACTGGTCTTAAAGGCTTTTCACACCAATACAGGTATTTTCATTTTTTCCTGATTTGACCTCTGCTCAGGTTGTAGTGGGCTGAGCTATGATGGGAATTATAATGTGAGGTCACCTTTTTACCTCAGGAACTAGAGTTAGTACACGCCGGCAGAGAGGAGGGACCTGTCAATCAAACAGTCTGTACAGAAAGGCTGTTGAATCAAGAATAATAATGATGTCTGTGTTTGATAAAAAAGGAATTGATGACTGCCTGACACTTCATATAGAAACTCTTTCAATTGCCCTTATTTAAATTATTTTATTATAATACCAATTTAACTCCAGGTCCATAAATGTCAGCTCAATTGTTGACAGTTGCTACGGCAACTAACATGTGAGAAATTGAAAACATTCTGTCAAGCGCAGGTACTTAGTCATCAAGTTTACTTTTTTAATTATAATCCTTAATCCTCTCGCTGGCAGAAAGTTTGAGTAGAGCAGGGTGGACCATGTCAGCCATTTCATAGCCTTATCTCAGACTTACAGCACTTTAGTTCAAAAAGGGAAAGCGCATGAGAGGAGGAGAGAGGGAGGGAGCGATGAAGAGGAGAAAAAGGACGAAGGAAGAGAGATAAGAGTGTGGGGGAGGGCTGCAGCGGATTGCGCAAACAAGAAAAGAGAAAGAACAAATGCAAAGGAGAATAGAACAGGAGAAAGAGGATGGAAATCCGAGGGAGGAAAGAGAGGGAACAGGTGGAAGGAGAAAAGAGGAGGACAGAGACGCGTGAGTGAGCGAAGGACGGAGAAACAGAACAGACGAGGCTCGAGAGCTCTGGCAGTATGTGAGAGAAATTAAGAGAGGCTTTGGGCTTTACGCCCCGCTGTGAGGCAAGATGGAGGACAACAAGGAACACTGCCAGACATGAGCGAAAACAGAATGAGGCCTTAGGCTGTACTTCCCAACGAGCGAGGCGGGGGAGAGGGAGAGGAGTGCAGCCTTATCAGGACGGAGCAGGGTTGGCGTGTGGAGAAGGAAACACCCAGGGGAGAAAAGGGTGCTTTCTCAGTCTGTGGGAGGGAAGGCCTAATGCCCTTACGCTTGCTTTTTTTTTTATGTATCAGGAAGCATGTGGTTGCTTAAGAGGGGAGTTTTATTTTTGAAATGTGTTCAAAGTAGGCTCATCATCACTTAGGATGGGAAATGATAACATGCTACTGATGCCATAATCAAATGTGCTTGTCAGTAATTTTTTACGTTTATTGTATACAGATTATCTCTTGTATCTATTGGATTCTAGAATTATATTTTAAGCACTGGAGAAGGCACTTTTATGTAGTGCTAGTTTTGCAGCTTTAACAAAAGCACTGTTGTCATTTTTCATGTGCAACATCGTGAAAGCGTCTGTGGAGAGACTAAAAGTGTGCCCTCTTCTCCCCCCTTGTGATCCTCATTGTGATGAGACATCAAGGACACAGCATTTTTAAAGAGAAATCAGGGGAACAGTGTGAGTCAGCCTGGAGGAAGCGCGGTCGGGCGAGAGTTTAAGCTGCAGCTGTTTCTTTTTACTTTCCTGAAGGCACTTGATAAGCCTTTAGAGAGACGAGGCGGGAGGCAGGCTTTCATTTTCTGCGCAGGCAGCAGGTGACTGGCAGTTGTAGCACTGACAAGTAATTAAACCCTCTTGTCTGAATCACAAGCACAAAAGATGCGAGAGTGTGTTGCTATTCCTACATGTTGCAGTTTAGACATTTATTCAGAAACAGATTCTGGTTAACTCTTTAACAAACTCAAAAGGATCAGAATTTGCTGCTACTTTTTAGATCAATATTCTGAGCTGACAGGAAAAAAAGGTATTTGGTTGACTGATGTAATTTGATTACATCTACCTTCTTTACACCCAGAGCTGCACAATTTGAACCTGTTCTGGCTCTTTTTAAATATAGGGTAATAAAATCTCAAGAGACATTTACAACAATGTTTAGATAAGGAAAGCAACCAAAAGAAAGCATGCACACATCTTTGCCTGTTCTCCCTTTGCAACAGCTTCTAAATGACTATCCAGTAGAAGATAATGGAAATGAAACGGAGGTAGGTGGGGAGGGTAACGTAAGACAACACGATTGTTGGGAATTTTGAATATTTGTAAAGTTTTTACAGAAATGCAGATCCATACCGTAGTCCTCCAGCAGCTGTTTCTGCAGCTGTGGCAGGGTCAGTCTGTCCTGAGAAGAGCTGCTGCCGTCATCATCAAAACACACCTGGTTCAACTGCAGGGACAAAACACCATACACAAAAATACAGAACAAGAAAGACTCCTTTTAGGATATAGTGAAACCAAGACAAGTCAAACAAATGCCAATAGTACAGCCCTAGAAATGTTATCGATGATCCTTAACTGGGCCAATTTCTCCGCTGGCAACTGGTAGTATACTGTACCTTCAGCCAGAGGTAGTCTTCCGTCTTGTCGGCCACCTCTCCATGGTTATCACTGATGTCACATTTCCCGATCAGGCAGTAGACGGCTCTCTTGTAGGGGTCGGCGCTGTTCCTCAGCACTCTGCGGTAGTGCAGACGAAGCTTGTTCTCTGAAGTCGGGGAGAGGCTGAAGGGAAGAGTCAGAAATGAGGTTGTGGGCAGGTTGTGGACCTCACCTCGGGGTCCGGGGGCATGCTCCCCCGGGAAGATTTTTTTTTTAAATGTTGAAGCTAAATGCATCAATTTGCTGCACTTTGAGAGCAAAGTTAGGGACTAAATCTATGGATACATCTCTCAACAAGACCCATGTGAAACAGAAGTGTTTCAAACAGACTGACTTTTTCTTTATGCATATTTTACAAATCACTCCCCTTTTAAACTGTATTTTTGTTTTANCTCTATTGAAAATTGATTTCGTTGGCTTAAGATTTGTTGAGTACTCCAGGGAAAATGCGGGACCTCGACTGCATATATTCTAAACAGGGACCTCTCCTCTCTCGAGAGGGAGGGAGGAACACTCTTTGTTGAAGGGGAATACATTCAGATGCAATCCGCGAGAGGAGCAAGAGAGAGAGAGGGCGAGGCGAGTGATGTTTTTACGCGAGCAGCACGGGTGTGTGTGTCGGTTGTCTGATGTGTTTCTGGGGTCTTATTGAAAATTAGACATTAGGATAAGAAAAAAGCTACCGAAATAACATTACTAATAACTGTCTTAACTTGTCTAGCGGAGACCCGGTGTTGATTTCCTGTAGTCAGATGCGTTGTGTATCGTACTTTTGACCTCGCCTTAAAGGTAACCTAACCCGGGTAAGAGGGTTATTCGTTTCACTTACCTAAACCTTATTCTTGTCTGTACGGTCGCGAGATGTTTCTCGCTTGCTCACCTATTTCTGGGTACCTCATAATTCCGGGGACTGTGTGGTCCTTGGGCTTTAGCGGCCAAAGAGCATCAGCCTGCATTGCTTCGCACGGAGGCGGTTTGAGTTTAAACTACCGATGTGGTAGCCGCACCTGTGGTGGGGATAAACCCGGAAAGTACCGGCTGTAGTATTTCCAAGGCACACCTTTTATATGATCATTATAAAAAACAAGAGAATAACAGGTATGAAATAATTCCAACTCATACTATAGGACAGTAAAACAAAAATACAGTTTAAAAGGGGAGTGATTTGTAAAATATGCATAAAGAAAAAGTCAGTCTGTTTGAAACACTTCTGTTTCACATGGGTCTTGTTGAGAGATGTATCCATAGATTTAGTCCCTAACTTTGCTCTCAAAGTGCAGCAAATTGATGCATTTAGCTTCAACATAAAAAAAAATCTTCCCCTAGAGGAGGTGAGGTCCACAACCTGCCCACACCCCCCGTCAAATTGTCTCACCCACATTGATGCTTCCTACGCCCATGGTTATCTCTCATCATCTGAGAGCTCCAAATCTGAATCTCCCTGAACTATCTGGTATAGAATAGGCCTATGTCTGCTTCAGTTCCGTCTCCTGCAACAATATTGCAAAAATGAGTAATTAAGTCCATGAAGATGCACCCTGACTTCCACTAGAATGGACATTTATAAAAGAGCTCTTATTTCAAAACTTGAATTATTGAATTGCTTTCAGTAATAATTATATAGTTCCTCACTTGTTACAAGTTACATGGTTAGTTCGTTGTTAGTGTATTACCCATTCTCACCGGGGGAAGAGAGGTTGTCCACACCAAATTATAATTTTCTCTAGGTGTTCTCGGAGGCATCATTAAGTATGCAAATTTTTTTATTGATAAATTGTTACATGTCACTTTTGACTGTCGAACATCGTTTTGTTTATGCGTTGGACAGTCCGTGGGATTTGTTTGTTCCCGGTTCGACAAGGTCATTGGGAATAATGAACAAGCGAACCCAAAATTTAGCTTACGTCTACCTTTTTTTACGTTAGGTGAGCTCTCGCCCCTTATTTGGCTTGCTTATTCTGCCTGCCAAGTAGCTTGGTGTTTAACTAGGCGATTCTTCGAGAATACTAGTTATGAAAGGGGGGGCCAAAGTGGCACGACCGGAACGCAGAGGTTTTGTCGTGCGACTAGGTCCCCTGTTGTCGGACCTTTATTCCGTGCTGGTTGTGGAAGAGACAGTCTCGGACTTATACCTGTGACAACGGACACAATAGACGGTCTCCGCCGGTCAATGTGCTTTACGTAGGTCGGCGGAGCTGTTGTTTGACAAATATTACGGCGATCCCGATTGCAATCGACTCTTCCGATCGACGGTGATCACCATGACCCATTTACTATATGTACGTCTATATCAGGATCAACTCCTTTATTTTAGGGTGTAAGTTAGGTTCTTGTTTCTGTTTTTTATTTATAGCGTCAATTCGTGACCGGTGCTGCGATTTGTTTCGTGCCTTCTCGGCCAGACGAAGGGAGGAAAGAGGAGAGTTGGTCCTCCGAAGGTTCGAAACTTCGGATCGAGAAAGTCGTGATCCGCGTTTAAGTTTCAGGAGCCGACGCTCTGCGAAGGGAACAGTTGAATCTTCGGCACCTTCCGCCATTTACATTTACGGGTGGCACAGGGAAAGACCCAAATATTTACCAAGTACGTCCCTCGTCTATTCTGGTTGTGTTCCGGTTGTTGGTCGTTGAGTCGTAGTTGTTGTCGATCGGGTCCTGTCGAACTATTAAGGTTGAAGGACACACTGCTGTGCGGAGAGCCAACCGCACACTGCAGTTACCAATTAAACCTTGTTATTAAGAAAAAGCGGTAACTGACCATACCCAAAAAGAGCGTTATGGAGAAACCCCAAAATGACATAATAATTGGGACAATTCGTGACTACTCAAAAAAAAAAGCCAGGGGTGAGCTTTTACTGTTAAAGGTCTTGTTTACTGGGGTATTGTGTGCAGTTTTCCCGCCCTCTGTCCCACTATCGTCTTTTTACGCAGGAACAACCTTTTCACAGAATTTCTAAAAAGTGAAAAGAACTTTTGGACGCATATTGTAGGACCTTTTTTTTCGGTTTTTTTTAGTTTACCATTATTGGAAAAATGAGACAATCAATCTTCTGTTAGGTTTAATTAAGTTAAAACTAATAAGTGGCTTTACAATGGTTTATCGAGAGTTACTTTGTCATGCTGTTTTGGTTTAGGTCCTACTCTGTAAAAAAATTTTCCATCACGTGTACTACGGGTTCTTGGATGTTCGTTATACCGTGTAGGACCCTGAAATTAAGGGGTTTAGTGGGTAAAGGGATTTATCCACAACCCACGGGGATAAACGAATCCGGGTTTAATGTTACAATTTTCTGGAACAAAAAAGGGTGCGTCGTTATAGAGTTATTTATAATTGTATTGTAAAAGAGGGGGATTTAACCAAATCCAATGGATTTAGATTAGGGTTAATGGCCTCTTCAATCAAGGGTTATCGGCAATGGTTAGAAGATTGACACCAGTTAGTTCTAACCTTTAAGAAAAACCCTTACCCTTACTATTTTTTACTCGAATAGATTATCAAATAAGAAAAACTGTCTTCAAGGGCGACGGTTTATATATAGGACGGACCCTGGTCGGGTAAGTGTTTAAGGGTGACCATCACCTTGTTAAAACATTTGTCGTTAGAGGAAAATGGAAAAACTCGATGAGATAGTTAGGAGATGGACGGTGGACATGTTCTCCTCGTAGTACCCGAAAAGTCACTATACCCAGTAACACCAATTTTTTATAACGTACGACCCTTCAAAGGGAGAAGGTAAAGTAGGTTTTACCCGTCCGTTATGGTTGTTGTTGTAAAATATCTCCCGTCCCTTCTCTTCATTTTTCCAACTATTACTAATAATAATTTAGTACTTTTTTTAGTGTTATACAANGATTGGCCAGAAGACATTATCAAAGATGTTCTATTGAGAAGACGATCACTACGTGACAAAAGTTTTCAAAGCCGTTTCTAGTCTTCGGTATTTCCAGACAAGTGTGTCTGGAAATACCGAAGACTAGAAACGGCTTTGAAAACTTTTGTCACGTAGTGATCGTCTTCTCAATAGAACATCTTTGATAATGTCTTCTGGCCAATCAGAATCAAGATAACGGCGTGGTGTTGTTGCAGGAAGTCCCGACGGAGAATACTTTTGCTGTAGTATATCTCTATATATATATATCGATGCAAGATTACGTGTTGATAGAAATCAACACGTAATGAAATAAGACCCCACGGTTTGATGATTGATAGGTGTGTGGGCGGTCTTTCATTTTGACACACAGAACAATGTTATAATAAACATACATACTGTATGTTAAATGGATATATCCGCCATCTTTCATTTATCTTTCCATTCCCACAACAATATACATAAAGAAATGGCATATTTTGAACATAGTTCAAATGGTGATTAATCATGATGAATTAATTTTTAAGCTGTGATTAATCTGATTACATTTTTTAATCGTTTGACTGCCCTAATTTAAACTACTATCTGTATAGTGCTAATTCCGATTTACTTAACTTCTTAATGAACAGGATAAATAAATCACAGTTACCTGTTCTCCAGGAAGTTGAGCGCCTGGCGTACGAAGGCCATTTGCATTTCAACAGAGATGCGACTTTTGAGCGTGTCTTTGGCGGGAACCAGTAAAACATCAGTCATCTGCTTCACCATCAGCCACATGTCTGATACATTCTGCAACAGTAACATAAATGAGTGTATTAAAATAAAAAAGAATAAGCAAAACTTACCTGTATTTTTGCAGAGGACTTTATCATTAAATGTGAAAAAAGAAATGTTTGATAGCAGATGATCTTACCTTGTCATCCAGGCTTTCTGCTACAGAAGCACATAAATCTCCCAGGTTAGGCTGGATGTGACCATTCACTATCTTCTCATTGAAAATGTAAATCTGAAAAAGACAAAAAAGAGGGGGATAAAAGATAAAAGATCATAAGCTCTCTCGGTCACTTTTAAAAATGTAGTTGTTGTTTAAAACTGTAAATCCACCTACTACTCCATCCCCAGCTATTAAGTAAAAGCTAAACCTATGTCCACCGAGTGAAATGGTTCACGACAAAAAACAAGAAAAAAAGGATGAAAATGTTTAGAAGGTCATCGAAGAGGATAACAAAAACTAGACCAATTACGCCGCACGCAATGTGTCGACACATGGTCAGAGGTAAAGCCACATTAAATTCAGATCAGAGGAAAACGGAGAGAGAAGGTCAGAGGGACGACGAGGGACGATAGAGACAGAGTGAGAGAGAATTACCCAGAGTCCCCCTCTTCCACTCAATCAATCAATATGTCTGATCTGCCTCTTTCTGGCTCACTGTGACCCCATTTCAACTGAACCATCACAAACAGACTCTTCTCCACCATGTTTTCGACTCACTTTAGTCAATTCAAGAGGTGGATTTTGTTTTTAGATTTAAGTAAATTTAACAGCAAATGTATTCATTAGATTTAACCAAGGCCATCACAGCAAGATATATCACTTCTGTTATTTATTTATTTATTTATTTACACATAACAAAAATCCACGTTTGTTTAACAGTCTGACTGTGTCGGAAACTGTGTCACGATTAATTATTTTGTTTACCAGAGAGCACTATTTTTAAATCTTGAACTCAATTCTTTAAATGAGAAAATGTGCACATCAAAAAAATGAATAAATAAAGAGGATAATGAGAAGTGGAGGGTTTAAGTTCATGCTGCTTCCTTATTACAAACCTTTATGTCACCCGTTAACTGCAAGTCTATTTCATTGTAAATGGTGAAATGTTGTCAACTATTTTCTAAATAAAGAATTGCAAAAAAAATTGAACTGAGTAGTGGGTAGAATAAAATGAAATAAAAGACATAGCAGTGCTGAGACAAAATACGATGGAAGTTATTTTGTATTTGTTTACCGTTATACTAAATTAAACTCTTCGCCTTTACATAGAGTTTCGATGTACTGTACAACAAAATGATCAGACTGGCGCCAACTCACCTGTCGTCCGTACGCCACCTCCACATTGTCCAGTGCACTCCTTCCTGGAGCGGTCACTTCACTCACAAAGCTGGGCTACAACAAACAGCAATAAAGGGAGAAAGTCAATAAATAATAAATAGAACGTTAAATAAAGCTAGGAACAACAGAAACTGCAATCATTTACCAATTGAACTGTCAATTGTGTCTAACTTGACAATCCCACAGTTGTTCTTGTTTTATGCCCAATGCATGCTGGGATAGGCTGCCACAGGATGAAAGTAGTATACTTCTCTCAGGGAGGAGATACAAATAGAAGTGATAAGTCTCAGATGTTGCTCTGGTTAGTTTTGATGAGTGTAGACAGCTCGCACAGTGTCAAGGAATCAGCCTGAGAGATTAGGATTTTCTAAAAGTCGACATATTCAGTCCAAAAAGTTAAATATTATTTAGTATAGATGTTTTTTGTGTGTGGGACTAAAATAATTGGAAACAAAATGACACAGCTGCTCAATGGATATTTTGTACAGAATTAATATATCAATCTTTTCTACGCAATCCACAGCCTAAGTTACGATAACTGAGGAATACGCTGACACTGTTACAATGGAGCTCTTTAGGAATTTAAATCCTGCAAAATACTGAGAAAAGACAAAAAAATGCCTTTTGATTATTAGAAAGAAGCAGCTGCTGTGGACCTGCATCTTTTTAACGAAACATATTCATCTACTAAAATAGATCTAGTCAAACGTGTATGTGTACCTACTTCAGATGAGCAGATTTATTGATACAAATAAGTCTCATCAATATAAAAAATCCAAGTTAAGCCAAAGAATGTAAACTTCAGCAGCAAGTGTTGCGTGTATTGGAACTTTCCTATTATGTTTAAAGACACATTTTGTCAATATGGCAGGATTTGGGGGAAAAATGACAAGTTGCTATTATATTTGCAGATATTGCAATTAAGATATTATTTGCAACATGACTATTTGTGAAACATTATTCACATTATCATTAAAAAATATATTTAAATCATCATTGTTTGATTTTTAAAGAGGATCTGTACCTGACATGGAGATGTTATTAGGTCTGTAGAGTACTGTTTGTAGGCCGGGACTTCTCCACAGCACTTCATTCAGAACTATTTTCCCACAAATGTTGCCTTTACCAAATATTGAACTTACTGAATTTGGATATTGCATGAGTCCAAATAGCTATTTTCATAACTTTTCAATTCATTTTGCAGCCCTAATAATAAAGATATATATGTTTTGAAGTCTTCTCTTTCCGGTTAAAACAGCTCTGCGTTGTGTTTCCTGTACCTCCACATCTTGACTGAAGTCCAGCGCGTCCTCTCCGGCTCCGAGGAGTGTGTGTAGCACTCTCTGCTTCACCTGCTCCCACTGCACCAGCATGGACTCTCGGTGGTACTCTTCAGCCAGCAGGAAGGTCTGAACAAAGCAGGGAACAGGTACTCCGTCACACTCGATGCATAAGTGCACCCAGGTGTCCACATTCTTACATTGTGCATGTTTGAATATAGCATGCATATTAATCACTACAGCTTTATTAAACAGAAATAATACTGCAGCAGTTTTGACTTGAAAGTTGAAAAACTTTTGTAACAAGAGAACAGGACAGTTGAGCACCATGTTAATGTTATTATATTATGTAATTAGAGCTACTATAATGCCTTGCCTTAAATGCTTGGTGTTAAATATCAAGTGATCAATTTGTTTACACACACGTTGGCTATATTGGCATCATCATCATAGTACATTATGGCGACTGATTTAATGCAAGAATAACTGTGTAGTGGCCATCAACCTCAGGAACTCACATGGAGCATATTGAAATATAGATGTTCATTATATAAATGGGGCGTATCTCCACATGCACCACATTTAGCAGCAGTCCCTCGTCAAGATTGTCCAACTCCACCAGGACGCAGGGCCGTCTATTTCAACCCTCCATAGAGACTCAAAAGGAGATAATGGGAACGTGAGATAATTGAATCCCTCCCATCTCCAGCTCAGGGAGACACTAATGTGGACTCAAGCCACCATTTACTTGGTAAACCTGTTCATTGCCCGGATGAGAGTTTAATTTAAGCATTGTTGAGTTACTGCAGTCTGTCAAACACTAAGATAGAATGAAGAAATTGGGTGCACGAAAGAAAAGGTTGTTTCAAAAGAGTATATCAATACTCACTTTGTGGAACAGAAAGGACTGAACACGGTTATTTTTTTATGCAAGGTGTCCCATTAAAGCAAATCTCGTTTCCACAATTGCTTACAGTGAAATTGAAGACATTCTTGTTATAAACATTGTTTAATGAAAACATGAATACAGTCAGTAGTATTGTTATTAGCCCTTTTCCTCTCTCAAATGGTATCTGCCTTAAAAGAACAAATAATGTATAATTTAATTGAGATTATATTCATGTTAGGTAATCGCAGTGAGACCGGAAAACTTAAACTCGACTAAATATGTCACTTAGCAGACCAATAGCCCACATTACAGGTGCTGCAGTCACATAGAAATTGGCAAGGACATCTTTAACACCTGCTTTCTTTTTAATCAGTGCATGCATTCGAGTTTTCCACCCTTGCACACAAGTCCCTTTTTGCATCTCTCGGGGAGCAGGGGGAGATAATGGGAACGGCAGCTAATTAAACGCGGGGCGTATTAGCTCTGCACATCAGGGAAGCCATTTCAAAACCATCCCCTAAAAGGTTTGCACCAGAAGGACAGATTACTAAAAAAATGTTTTTTAAGTGTTCCTATAGTTTGATGTGCCAATGTTCACACACACACTGCAGATCTCATCCGATTTTGTTAAACTCCAAATGAGGCATATAAAGATCCACTAATGTATGTGACTAAAGAGGATAATCACTTCTTCTCCTTTTAAATTTAAACAATTGAACCTGTATGAATGTCAAAAATCCTGAGAAGTTGGTTTTGCAATACTTCCATTAGGGTTTAAATGTTGTCTTAGCTGTAGCTTTTGTTACCAAGCAATAAGACACTAGGCAGATACTGACCCTGCGGCGAGACTCCTCGATGGCAGACAGCAGGGCGTTGTCCCTCTCATTCTTCAAGAAGCCCTGTGGATGGGGAAGAGACGGACAGAGGGAGAGACGCGTGACAAACACAGAGAGAGAAAAAGACAGAAACAGAGATATTAGTTCGAACATTGGGGACACAAGTATTAAACTGCATGCAGAGAGTTCTAGGAGGGACAGATACAGAAACGTGGTCCGTCATTTCTTTACGGAGAAAGAAGCCGCTTCTCAATTTCCCTTTTTTTTTGTTGCCATCACTTGACGTGTTGAGTCAGGATTAGTCAAACGTATCGTCGCTGTTTAACTGACACATGTAAAGGCAGGCCAGAGAAATGGGCCATTCTGCAATGAGACAGCAGTCAGCCTCCATTTTAAAGTCGTCTCAAGATGGCCGCCCCTGCACGCATACATCCCCATCCTCTGGTCCTTCCTGTGAACATTCCCATTCCCTCTCATCTGATAATAAAACCGCTTATCTCGTACACAGGATCTGAGCTATCCGGTGAGTAAGTGGTACTTGTGTAACAGCTGGAGTGTGCAGGAGAGAACACGACAGCTCTCTTCGGAGGAAAAGTCAGTGAGCGCTGACGTGAATTAAGGGACAGACATCTTGAGGAATCATCAAAATGGCGGCTGTAATGCACTGGGCTGCTAAGCAAACACAAGGACGGCTCACTGGCAGCTTTCAAATGTGAAAAAATACAAGTTGACGTAAGAAATCTCCCTTTTCCTGTGCAGAATATCATTATACATGTGTAGCATTTGAATGAAGAAACAGAGACAGCTGTGAATGAGTCAGAGGCCGAGCCAAAAAACATCTCTTTATTCAGAAAAATTAACAAAAGGACATTTCCTCTCATCAAACTGACGACATGGGATGCTATGTATGAGGAGCTGCAACCAATTTAAGGTCAGCAGGAGGACGAATTTCACAACAAAAACAGGGTAAGATTTTAAGGTGCTGCTCACACGGGAACGTTTGCGTTTATGCACAGTATGCGTTTTCAAAAAAGTCTTCCGTTCACACGTATTCGTTTCATTTGACATTTCTGTTCACACGAGAACGCTGGAAACGCTGTAGTACATATGCCGGGCCTGTAACTGGCGCTGTAACTTCCACCACAAAATACACCAAAAGCAGCGAGTATAAGATCCATAAGGTGGGGAGAGGCGGGGCTATCGTTATTTTTTCAGGAAATGATCGTATAGAGGCGATTACACGGAGCCGTTGGACCCCCCAGAGCGTTTCGTTTGCAAATCTATCCACCTTGGGACCCGTTATCGTTTGTGGGATCCGTTTCTATTGTTTTATTACGGCCTCGTGTAAACGAAAGGGCTATACGCAAGAGAAACTATTTGGATCCAACCCGTTTTGTTCCCGCTTAAACAGGGTCTAAGGTCAAGCAATAAATATGTTTTTACTGCTTTGAGGAAAAAGTAGAAAACATAAACCAGGGAAAATGTCACTAAATGTTATGTTCAATGATAAGTAGCACATTCAAAATAGATTTCCCAAAGACCTTGTTAATGTCTTGATGACTTAGTTGTACTGGCCACAAGTTATTACTTTTAATAGCGATAACATTTTTTGTAGTTTATCAGGTCATTGCCATTGACTCAATTGTCTAATAATGTTGCAAAATAAACTAACCAAATTTTGATTACAACATAAAAAAGATTGGAACACCGAAAAAAGACAGTTAGCTTTTAAAAAGAGCCATTTAAACGTTCAGAAAGAAAATCAAGACTGCAATCTAAAGCTGCTTTTGTATGCATTGGATCTTTGGTTATTTTACCAACATTTCTATAATTGCAATATAAAGGGGGCCAAACTGAACACAAAGACATTTCAAAGACATCTCACTTTCTATTATGCCCTGCTTTTGCGTGTATTAATATGTACAGCCTAGATTCTTCTGTCAGCTTTGTTGGATTGGAGGTCAATACACCATCTGAGAGCTGCCTTCTGAACATTTACATTCCTGAGATGTAAAGTAAAACACTGCTGCTCCTCGTTATGAAGGAAAGCCCTGCGATAGGTGGTATCCTTTAGAGTTCATAAAACCATCGGCCTTCTACCTCTGACATAAAAGTCACTTACGTTGCTGGAAAGTTGTTCCCTTTTTCAGATGAAAGCATTTTAATTCATTGATGATATTTTTAGCACCATCTGTCTCTGTGTCTGAAGTATGTAGGATCCTTGAAGACCTGGTGCGAGACAGACTACTTTCTAGAAGCTGACCGGAGATCAGTCTGCTTTACAGGGATGTTGGGGCTCTTAGACTGCCTTTGGTTTCCATCTCTCCTCTATTTTCACCTCTCTCTTTTTGCCCCCCCTTCGTCTCTGCACCTGCTAGTTGCCCTGCCTACTTCAGTCTCATTTCCTCCTTTCCAAGCTCTCAGCCTTCACCTCTGGCTGTCATTGCCTCCCTCTCATCCCTCCTCTGTCCAATGCAAATTGGAAGCAAAATTGGTTCACTGTGAGAATGCATAACTTCTTGAGACAATGTCAATACCAAAGTAACTGATAATGACTGCATCGAACCAAATTAAAATGGCTGGGCAATTACAATCTTTAATGTATTAGGCTATTCATGCACAATCAAGGAAAGAAGACGAGGTGCCAAGAACAGAAGGAAACCATGATGGTGGATACAACTTTGAGCTACATTTTGCTTCAGATAATGGGCCCTAAAATGTTGAGAGACAAGAACAAATGTGACCCTACCATACGTCTTTATTTGAAAGGCAAAGCAGAGACTGAGACAAGTTATAAGGGAAGGAAAAAATTCACAATTACACTTTTTATGTAGTGGGACAAGCGAAAGGTGTAGATTAAACACAACAATAGCTTTTTTCCAAGATGCTGACATCAAGGCAGGAATCAGAAGTCTCTTTATGTTTGTGAGGCGCAGTTCACTTGGTTTGCAGTTGCTTTGAATCAAAGTTTAAATCTAAAAAGATGTCTTGGTAAAATGCTATGTACTATTGGAATGTAGGAGGATAAAAACGTTGTTTCTCTGTCTCACCAACCTGCCCGTTTACCGCTCCACTCCATTCCTCATACCCTTGGTTTCGCTCTGCCTGCCTGCTCGCTCCCTCCCTCTCTCTCTCTCTCTCTCTCTTTCTTTCTTTCTCCATCTAACTTTTTTTCCCAGAAGAGACTGAGAATAGGTCTATATTTAACCACTCTAAACCAGGGGAGAGCTCAGGTCAATGCTCACTGGAGAGCTGCACTGGAAAAAGAAATATAATTGTTGCAACAGAGGCTTATGGGATGCATGTACTACAAGATGAGACTGGTAGTCATTGGATTGGTAATTGGAGACCGTCATCTTCTACAGGAACACACACATTGTACCTTTACAGCACATCGGGCAGCATTGGGTAACTCTGTCTTCAACTGAAGAACAACAGGAGGCAAATAATTTTCCATTGCTGTCATTTGGTTTCCTGGTGCCAGCTGCACTTGCACTGCCAATGACTGCGCCTATACAACATTTGTTGTGCCAAATGTAAACCGACAACTTAGCCAACAGCTGGGGCCAAAATTCCCATTTTTCTGAGATGTCATTACTCTTCACATTCACAAAATGAATACATTTTGCCTAAAAATGTTAAAGTTAGGATTTACATAGATGACTCTTTTATACAAAGCGAATGACGTGCACCCCAATAGCGTAGAGACACGGGAGACCTTTGGGATTAGGTATTTTGCTAAAGGACTCTTTGACATGTTGATTGCAGGCTGATGAATAAACAAAGAACTACTAAATAGTACTCCAAAAATGATCTGAAATGTTTTTTTCTACTGTTACCAACTTATTATTCCTTCCTTGTGGGATAATGTCCAGTTTTATTCAATTTGAAGACGATTTATTACATAAACTACATATTTTTTGCCTACGTCACAAAGTCTGGACATTTTTATTTTTACAAAAAAGCAGAAAGAATTGGTAAGCATTAACTGAAGTCATTTCAGTCGAAGACTAAGCCATTCACTTTCAACAATCAATTCCTTGCTGAGCAATAGGTGTATCTAAAGATGTATATTTTCAGTTGCCCCACCCCGGTGTTATGTGTCCTCAGAGATCTGCATCCCACAGCATACTGGCCAGACAGCCCAGAAACAGGAACAGAGCCACAAAAGAAAATGTAATAATTAGACATAAATCAGGAAAAACTCCAATGCCGTTAAAACACAAAGCGTAGTTGTGGTTCTATAAAAGATGAACTGGGTTAAGAATGTAGATTCAAGGTCTAGTCTTTCTTTTTTATTGTAAACCAAAGAATGATGACCATATTTTAGAAAATCATATAAAACCGATCCTTTAAAATGTCTGTAATTATTGTGAGCGTGTGTTGACGAATACGCACGTTAAAATGCACAAATGTGCTTAATCTCTGTGCCGGCACACACAGGCCCTGGTTCTATAAGCCTCCAGTCAGGATAGTCACACTGTCTGCGTCTGAATGCCACCTTACTGTACGTTCAGTGTAATTCAGCAGGTCGGATTCTTAAGCCTTGATCTGGTTTAATGCACACGGTGTGAAATACGGTGTAGAGATAAATCGTCTCGAGGAATCTAAAGGCTATGTAAGGACACAGTCAAAGAGCGGTTAAAGGGGAAATGAAGGAAGGGAGCGTTGCCAGTCGTCGTGAATATAGTAAGAGGGGTTCTGTCCTTTTTGCCATGAGACAAGAAGCCGGCCAGTGCCCGACTGTGTGTGTGTGTGTGTGTGTGTGTGTGTGTGTGTGTGTGTGTGTGTGTGTGTGTGTGTGTGTGTGTGTGTGTGTGTGAGAGAGAGAAACCACACCCTTTACTTCCTGTGTAATATAAAACACATATGTAAAGTGCTACAGAACAAATACAATTATGTGTATATATAAGTTTATATATTGAATAAATACTGTCATTAGTAATCTTTTTGTACCACCATCATCCTGTCCGTGGGCGCAGCCGCCAATATAGTGTAGCATGATGGGAAAAGACAGGTGACAAAAAAGTGTGACAGACAAAGCACATGCCTGTCTGTGAG